GTAGAGGACTCATCTGATTATTCCTGACGCGAGCCATACTTTATTGGTTTTTTAAGCTTAATAATTAGGTAGTTTACGAAATCATACTGAGCTGAGTATAGTGAAACTGTGTATCTAAATGTTTAATACGCTTGAAGAGATTTACAACAACAGTGAGTAGTTGTAGTCAGAAGGAACCGAGTGTGATAAATACCTAATTACTATAAAATGCATTAATTTTTTCATCACTTGGTGATTATATTATAGGATAATAAAGTCTTTGTTCGCCTTTATCTGCCTCAAAAGAATAAACCCAAATGGCGCAGAAGAATATCCATGCTTACCTTGTATTATTTTTGTGCTTATCACCATTGATATAAATGGGCATACAAAAATATTCACTCATTGCGACAGCTAAGAAAGCTGGTTTCATTTCCAAGATAATATTTTGGCTCTTCAGATTTCCTGGCAATCAGGTGGTACGCGGAATTCATTTATTTTGATGAATATTCTCCTACAAAAATAGATCTGTGCTCGCACATACGGGAGAGTTATTATTGTATAAAATGTTTCAAATGATGTGTGTTGCAAAGGTAAATTGGTAAAACTGTGCTTGAATTGGAAGTACAAAAGAATCACTATACAAGTTTAAATTACTTTTTAACTACAAAAATTAATTTCTGAAATACTGCTAGTTTCCTGAGAGTTACTTAAATCGTTTGATTGGATGATCTCAATACAAAGATTTTCAAAATTCCTCAACACTGTTCTAGAATTATTCAATTGTTAACATAGCCGTATTGTAACGTTTATTAGAAACTGTGCAATAATTTTGATTTTCTTAGATGCAGTCCAGATTTACCCAGCGAAGCCTCTCTAACGCGAACACCCGTATCTTTAGTGATTTTGTAGTTTTTTTAAAAAGGTGAACTATAGTATCAATGATTATTCATGTTCCCAGAAGCGTGGTTATCTTTAGTGATTGTCGTCTACGTGAGATAATTGCTGCTAGAAATTTTACTATAATGCAAAACGTCACGATACCATATCATGCGAATTATTTAGGTAGATTAATTTACAAGAATTCTGTGGTAGTGTTCACCTGTGGTAGACGACCAATTAGTATCTCTGAGAACAGAAGCCATTCCAAGATATTTTTTCTGCGGATGACCAAAATCATATGGAAGAGCGAGTAATTGTCTTAGAAAAAGTTCATTGAATATAATGTAAATATTTACACCGAAGAGCCATTACATTGAGACCACCCTCCATCTATAACAACGGACTCGCCCAAGAACAAAAACACTGCGCGGGCGCGGCTGATGTTTGAGTGTATAGAGTGGTTATGCATTGTCTTTCAAAATATAGCGCGATTAGCAACATAGTGGGAAATCAGACTTCGATAAAGGTCAAATCGTTATGGCTGGGTGACTGGGAACATCAGTATCAGAAACGTCCCCTTTAGTGGGCTGTTCATGTGCAGTTGTTGTGAGCGCATATCGAAAGTGGTGTATGGATGGTGAAACGACATGTCGCCGGCCAGCAGTGTGTTGTCGACGGCGCATTGATTCGAGAGGAAAGCGGAGATTGCTACGCATTGTTCGGCGTGACCGAAGAGCTACAACAGCCGAAATCACTACCAGCTACGAGAGTGGGGACTCCAGACAGCGTTTCTCAACACACGCAGCAGCGTACATTGCTACATATGGACCTACGCAGCAGGAAACCAAAGCATGGCACTGCACTGACGGCACGTCATTGTCAGCTTCGTCTGGAACGTGCCAAAAAATATCGGCATATCCTGCATGTGCTTTGGTCCAATGGAGTGTGATGTTCAGATGCGTGTTGTTGCGAAGTAATTGTTGTACGGACTTTACTGGTTGTGAGGAATGGGAATGATTGCGGATCGCTTGTAGCGCAGATTGGCTGTCTGAGATTATTTGCATATTCTAGAGATTCTGTGTAATGGCATCCATAGAGGTGTCGATGGTAAAGTTAATAAACTCGTGGTCGGACGCATTGATGTCATCTTGTACTGTCCAGTTGTGTATGAGATTGGTGGCCGCCGGGGTGGGGGAAAGGGTTAAATCTAGCCAGCCTTTCTCGTTCGAGCCACTGTCGAAATTGGCGCCGAGTTGGCTTGATTCAAGAGATTTTTGCTGGCTATATAATCTTCTAAATCGATGCCTTTGGAGTCATTAGAGGGGTATCTCCAAGGTATGTTGTGGGCATTGAAGACTCCCCTTACGAATACTTTTGAGGTCTGGTTGGGCTGCAGTACAATGTCTATGTAGGAAGCGATGTTGGAAATGTCTTCTGTAAGCGGTGAATAGATGGAGGAGAGAACGAGATACTTGTTTGCGAAATCTAAGAGAATGGCAGTGTCGCTTCTATTCATTATTAATTTTTAAATTTTATTGCGTTTACTTAATTTTTGTATTGTATTCTGTGTATTTCAATTTACATATTGTCTTAGTGTATTGACCTGTTAAGTAGTAAGCGTTATGTTTTCAAATTAAGTTTGTGGTATACTAGTAAATACATATATAGAGCTTCTCGCTAGTACCATGAAATATTGGTGCAAATGTTTGCAACAGTTTCTAGTATTGTGCAAAAATGCAACAGTTTTCTACATATATTCGTGCCGCGAACCAACTTTCTGATAAGCACATTGTATAGTTATTATTTTGTAGTATTCGCCTTTATTTCAGTACATGTCTATGTAGGTACAGTATTCCATTAAGTATCTTGTATATTTTTTTCTAATGTGGAGTATAGTTTAGGGTCGTATAATGATAAGTAAGGGATGTATAATAGTAGTATTGAACCAGACTTTTTGGTTGTAGAACTTGTAAATATATGAAAATTTTGCTGGATTTAATGTTTTGAAATACTCGTATTCAACTCTGCTACAATATATATATTCCTAATTTCACTGTGACTGTTTCCAAAGGTTATTGTCTAGTGTTCTTTTGATTAGTTTTAGCGTTACAGTATAGCATCATGTCAGAATGTCTACTTTTCTGATACGAGCAGTGTATATGGGGGTGTTTTATTTGTAGTATCAGTTTTACTATGTTATGTGTTTTCAGTTCATAGTAATATATTGCATAATAAGTTTTTTTTTTCTTTAGTAATGTGCGGAATTATAGTAAGTGTATAATAGTCAGTCAGTGTGATGTATAACTGCAGGCTTGAAATTCCAATGTTAGTCTTAAATTTTACTGTTTTTGTTTTACCTTTACCATTTTTGTATCAATGCAGCTTTGTACTTCTAAGTATTTTTTTTAATCTATGCTATCAGGAATGTCATATGTACTCAAGTAGTCCTTTGTATTCCCTATCTAGATGCGACTCTGTAATTTGTTTTTTTTTAATTTAGACTTAATAAATGTCTGCAGAGCGGACATTATACTGCAAGGGCTCGTTCCCGGTCAGTAGTCCTCCTTAGCAGTGTTAGCAGTGTAAAAAAAAAAAAAAAGAGTGGTCCCTATTAGCAGAGAGCACCATCGGGTTCGAATTTGTGTGGCAGAAAATAATACCCTCTCTGGGTGAGGTACCTTAGGTGGGATCTCTCCAATGGTATTTTGACCAGGATAGAGGAAAACGCGGGATGGAGTTTTTTTTTTTTTTTTTTTTGCAGTATGGTTCCTGAGCAAAGATGATATCAATATAATTTTCTACTGCATATTGTATTGCTTGAGCAGCAGCCGCTTTCACTCGCTGCAGGTTTATTTGTAGACATCGGATTGGTCCATGTTTAATATTACGCAATTCAGTAATGGCATCCTTGCTAACTGTGCGAGATTCTTCTGTGGTGTTAAACTTGAATGCACCATTAGTCATACTGTCTATTTCTTCTGGTACGTTCAACGTATCCTTTATAACACTGGCAGATGTTTGCGTAGGCCTGGTGGTTTTGTGAGCACGTTGCTGCCTATTCTGTAGTTGAAGTCGGAACAGTTAATGCAGCTGGGACAAATGACCTTTGCAATTATAAAATACAATAGGGCTGCTGTCTAAGGAAAACGATGCTTTTATTCAAGTCTTTCTTGGGGAAGACTAGCTAATTGGTAGATATAATCGTATAAACCGTTTATTGAGAAGCAGTATTAATGTAGAAAAATGACATATTTTTCGTATCTCTCACAAATTATCTATCTCATAGTTTTTATTTAATTGAAAATTTCTGGAACTCGTATGTATGAAAGTTGCCTGAATATTAAGTAAATATTTATAAAGCAGCTATGTCATAAAAATCTGTTAGGTCAAAAGGATATTAAATACCCGAGTTTTGAATCGTTCTGATAAGCAGCTGTAATGTTCTAAATTTATTATTATTTTTTATTCGTGGGGAGACACGAAATTGCCTGTTATTTGTAAGGCAGTCGGTTAAATTGATTTTATTGTGTATCAACGTATCTTCAAAGCATTTCTGCGCTTTCAAATTGCACAGATTTTAACCTAAAAGGAAAAATATTTTTTAAAAACTTACTCGGTTAAAAGAATATCTCGTGAAGTTTACATGCCAAAGTTACAAATGTTATAAAATGCACCCCATTTGTAATATAACAGATATCAATGCGATATTCAAGTTCTTCCTAAATATGTCATAGTATGTTCATGCAAACAGTCTGTAATAATGATTATACCCTGTAATGCGTACAAACAAGAAGGAACAAAACAATGGCTCTAAAATTCCTCCAGTAATCAAATGCACATCTTGGTTACCAACACGTTGAAGCCACATTTTGGTTTCTTGAGTGCTATTTCTATCTCGGAAGCAAATTTCTTGTTCCGTATGTACTAAGCAATGCTGTACATCAATAAAATGTTTCCTAATCGCTTCCTAATGTAAAAAAAAAGATTCCAATTTCTTTTAGATCAACCATCTGTTTTGATTAAGATAATTAATATTATTGTCTTATGTCCAATATTTTGTTCATCTATGGACTGACAAGTTACTATGATATACCCTGTAATGTTTTTGCATCACCACTTCTATTATTGTATTATTACAGGAAATCTAAATGTCTTGGAGGCCGCTGGAGTGCACAGATCAAATCTCCGCCCAGCCAGTCGTCCTACTGCCTATACGCTGCTACCTAGCGGTTCATGGAGTTCTAAAGAGGAGGAGATTATTTTCCCAAGGACATTTCCGTGGGAATTTTCTCTCCTGGTGACTGTTCGTATTAGACCCGCTTCGTCACCTGGATTTTTGCTTCGAGTTCTTCACTCAGGATCATTGCAGGTAATGACATGAAATTTTAGTGTATTATTTTTTTTATTATTTTTAGCTTGACAGATTTTTTTTTTTATTATTTCCCAAAAATACTTGCGCGGAAAACCACAAGAAACTTTATATTTCATGATTTTTAATTATATGTACGTAAAACTGCTTCACATCCTAAAATTTTTGTAAAAACAAAGCCAAACAAATTGATAGAAATTGAAGAAATGACTTTTATATAGTAAAGTTATGTGATTTGCCATTTAACGGCGCAACTTTTTATAAGAGAAGGATTTTTAATTATAACGCAAATAATGGAATGAATGAAACAATGAAATGGTTATAAGAGAGCAAAGTACTATTTTATTATTCAAATTAATTCCCCTCCTCTGTAGTACCAGGATTTGCAGATACGTGTTCCAAAATAATCTGCCCAAGCAGAAGACAAAAATTCCAGTTTAAATAATAATTAAAAAAAAGTATTATATTTGATACAATGTATAATAAAAGATTAAAGCATAATCTTATGCATACAAAATGGCCTATTATGTTACTTTATTAATCTAATTTCCTTTATTAGTATTTTTTGATGTAGCTATTTAATGTAAAAATGTTTGCAGTCCTTATTTCTTTAAGTATTATTCCTAGACATATATAATATATCTCTATGCATAAAGCGAGAATTTTTAGCAATTTTTCCTATTTATATACCAGGTAAATATTATATAGGAGAGATTATATACGAATTCAGAATGATTTACAAATAATTCTATCACAAATATGAATTAAAATTAGTTAAAAAATATGAATAATTCTAGTTAGATAAAGAAATATATTATCATTATTTTAATTAATTCTGGTGTACATTAATTAAACTTCTCAGTATCATTGTTTGATTCACAATTTTGCAGCAAATCTGAGAGTCTTTTCCAGTCAAGTCTGAGTGGATATCACTGTCCTCTATTTAATCATAAATATCGCTATTACCTAGAAATTGTAGATTATTTGCCATTTATAAAGCTGGTGATGCGACATTTTTTAATGAGCAGATGATCATTTTTGGCTTATATTTCGAATGGATGACGATTTGAAAATCACCTACAAATCCTCTGATAAGTCAGCTAACTTTAGGCACAAGTTGGAACTTATATCTATATATAGCTAGGTTTATAGGACAATTTTTAATTCGGTTGTTAGATGGGTTTTCAATTTTGGCTGAATTTTATATTGCAGAAAATTATCTATCGGCTTACACTTGGAAATCTATGGGACACGAATAAAGAGAGAGATCGAAAAGTTTTCGCTTGCGCGCTCCGTAGAGAGAGAGAGAACTCGAATGCTGACTTAATTTGCATAACCAAGTGAACTTATTAAATTGTTCATATTATAGGTAAACCGTTAGCGGTATTTTTCTATTTTTTATAATGCAGGTTGTTCGTCTTTACTGCGTTTATATAGATAGATCTATATATAAATAAGAAAAATTATCTTCCAGGAAAAGAAAGTAAATAATTGTAATCTTAAATATTAGCGAAGTAAAAGTATTTGAAAATTTGTTAAATTCATGAACAGAGGAAATAACTTGTGGAAAACGTCAAAATAAATTTAAAACTATAAAAAGTCAAATTTTCTGTTACTGTCACTGAATGGAAACTGATTGACTTTTCAATGGGGAACAAATGTGCTTCCGGTAAAATAACGATAATTAATAAAAGCGAAATTGTTTACTCTCCTGTATTTGCAAAATCCACAAGCCAAAATATAATAAGTGCAAATAAATGCTAAAAAATTAAAACAACGGAACTTTCTTGTTAAAAATATAAAAAATGGGACATTCTAGCTGATATAATATATATATATATATAAGATAAAAAAATATGTAAATCAGATTTATAATTTAATTTAGTAAAGCTTCTTAATTCTTCATTTTTAATTTGGGTATTTTTCCTCATTGTATTCTGAAATTAGTAATAACTTTCTGACTACGTTATTTCTAGATTGATTTATAACACAAAGCTTGCGTAAAGCTGATGACGTAGCTTATTCAGAACTTGAGCAAGAAATTTTGAGAACTAAAATCTTTGTAACCTAAACCCAAACCTTCCTCTTGGCGATCTTCCATATTGGATTAATGCACACTCTGAGCCTGAAACGCAATTTCCCTCGCTCTCTTCCTGTCGTAGCAGCATTCAAAAATGTAAATGTTCTAGAAAATAGTCACGATTAGTGTGCTAAGTAAACTGTGGCCGCAAATGTGAATTTGAATAAAAATGGAATTTATTTTGCCTCGACTGACAAGTTTCTTATTATTTTGGATTAGCATTCTACGCGATCAAAATTTTTCCTCTTCAATATGGATGTAAGTTCTATGCCATTAACATTTGCTACGTCTTTTTCTCTTTTTTTTATCACATCAGTTTTTGTTACCAATTTCACGGAGATAAAAAATAGGTTGCCCTTTATAGTTTTTGGAACTAAATTTATATTTAATTTGCGTTTCGATTCTAATAATGTCGCATGGACTCAAACATAAGATGGCATCCCATGCCCCTGCATTTTTTATGTTTGATATGAAAAATATGAAGGAGAATATAAAGAAAGCTCAGTGTGTGAGCTTAAGGAGGGTGTTGAAGCATTTTTAAAATCAATAATATAAATAATTGTTTATGTAAAATACCTTAAGGTTATAATAATTTACCCTCCTCTCGTTTGGCTGCATGGTTCAAGCAGTTAAGGCAGTTAAGATTTTGTTAACGATACAATGACCAGCAGCAAGCATAGGCGTAGGATGTATAACGTTGTCCTACTATAGTTTCGAGCGTTAGATAGAACATTTTTCTTTAGATGCAGGGGAGAAATTCAAGATAGAGAAATGTATTTGAGTGATAACAATGGACAAAAATGTTCGAGAACAGTTCCCGAGAATTTTTATTTGTGGAACTGTTCCGTTTCTGTCTGCAGCCTCATTGGTAAAATGTATAGCAGCAAGCTGTACATTCGTGTAGCGTATGGTTTTGAATCGCCCTTATAAAATAATAAGAAACTGATTTGGTCTCTCAGAGTCAGTTCTACTGACAGATTTGTGAACTGATTTTGATACATGTGTAAGGTATTTCTCCCGCCTTCCTCGCGTGCCTTAGTGGTGTAGTGGTCAGCACACTGAGCCGGTATTTCAGAGGTCCGTGGTTCGATTCCCGGCCAGGGCGTTGCTAATTTTCCATTTCTTCTGCTTCCAATAAGTACCTATAGTCTTTACAGTGGCACTGGAAATAAAAGGGTGTTGGATGGTGATTTCTCCTCACCCAGGTTTTATCGATTGGGTGCCTTGAAAACCCCAGTCGCTCTTTAAAAAGGGGAGTATATAAGGTATTTCTCCCACTTTCCTATCGTGCTTTCCGTGGTTGTAATTGGTTCTGCACTCTATGCCGGTATTCCAGAGGTCCGTGGTTCGATTCCCGGCGAAGGCGATTGCTCATTTTTCATCTCGTCCTGCTTCTAAAATAATCGTCTTCCTAATGACTCTGCAGTGGCGTCCGGAACTAAAAGGGTTGTGGATGATGACTCTCCACACCCAGGATTTGGCGATTGGGTTCCCTAACACCAGTCGCCCTTTAAAAGAGGGAGCATGTAATGAATTTCTCCCGCCTTCTTAGCATGTCCTTCGTAGTGTATCGTAGTGGTTAGCATGCTCGAGCACGGTATTCAGAGAGTCCGTGGTTCGATTCCCGGCGAAGGCGTTGCTAATTTTTCATCTCTTCTGCTTCCAAAAATTACCTAATGTCTCTACAAATGTAAAGACATTTTATACTACTTGTAAAGTTATTTTTTCCTACAGATGCAAGGCAATGTTTTTTTATTTAAAATGCGTCAAAAATAAATAAACAGATTATTTTGAATAAATTACACAGATTATTTTGAATAAACCATATAGCTATAGACATAACAACCATATGCATATGTGTAATGGCAAAAAAGACAGATGCCAATGAATATATTCAATTTCGACTTAGCGGTTTTATGTAATTTGAATTCCTTTTTTCAATATTTTATGGGAACGAGTTGAATAATTATTAATGTTATTATGTAAACGTTGCATGTTAATATGCTGTGTTGCAATTATCGTATCTGTTTTCAGGAAGCATATTTCATATTCTGAAAGGATATTTTAGGAATTTATTTTTCGTACTTAATTTTAAAAATTTAATTTAATTTTCTAACATATAACATGTATTATCATCTGAAAATTTGAAAATTAGCATGGTATTGTAGAATTCAAAACTTAAGTTTCCAAAACCAATTTAAACTTACAAATGATTAAGAATGAAGTATTACAGAATGAATAATTTTGAAATACAGCATGTATTTTGCACAGTCGTTCAGAATTAAGTTATCAGAAATAGTTATGGAAAAAATAAATATACGAGTAGCACGTACTGATACATTAAAATTGGATCAAGTTATCCATCATCTTATTTTTTAGCTCTTTAAAAAATAGCATCAGCTAGTTTCCTCTTACATTATAAACTGCTTCAACTTATAGTTACCATGTTCCTCTTTATTAAAGAGGTCTGCTCCGTTTCTGAATATTGCTGCCATACTGGTCGTCTTCCCCTCGAAAACCGCAAGAACAGTTAACGTCCCGTCTGAGGAATCGTCTGTAATACGCTGGTTGGTACAGGCCTGGAGAAAGAGTCGGTTGCATTTGAGCCTCTTAAGAGTAGGTATTGGGAAGATCTTCTAAGTAAATCTTCCTGTCTCTTCTTCTTGCCATCGTGATGCCCATGTCATCGAATCTCTAGAATACGCGCCCAGCGTGCTGACCGTTACACTACGAAGGCGGGAAAGATACCTTATAACACGTATTGTAATAATGAAATATATATTGCATTTTTATTGCACATAATGAAGAGTGCAATAGGATCTGTTGAGTTACCAGATGAAATTGGTAGTTCGTCGTGGGTTTGAACGCAGGGAACGGTTTGGCTGCATGGCTAGTTTCGTGGCTTTTTCTATGTACCCTT